TTTACCATCCATACGATAACCTTAAAACGTTTGGAAGGCCATTTGGTGTTGCAGTTTAAAAGTTGTTATACAATTTTTATTTTTTTCCAAAAACCTAGACGTCTATGGTGAAAATTCAATATGGATTCATACACTACTTAAGCAGGAAATTGTAAAACTAATTTGTTGTAAATTTTCAAAATCGTCACACAGACAGACGGACGGACGATAAACAAACAGACGGAAACAGGAGACCCATTTTTTCTTACTCTAGGGGTTATGACAACATGAAACTGGCAACTCGCCCGATGGGCTCGATTACTAACTTCTTTATCTTATGCCCAGGAAATAAAAAACGCGCTTGAGTGTGATATAAAATGGTGCCTTTGGCCAGACTTATTCTTATCTTATTCTTCAGGGTCTCTACAAATAGGTACCATAAGGCAAAACAATACTATAAACCAGAATAATCATACTAGGTCTTCATACCCAATAATTAGGCAGATAGTATTTGAAGTATCTTTTGTAAAATATTTGAAATTTTCGACTATCTTATTTTACCCTTGACTGTATGATTTTTTTAACGTTAAGGAATTTTTTTTGTTCTTTTAAGTAGGTATTTAGAAAAGTGTTTCATTTTCGTATTAATAAAGCTTCTGTTTTTTATTTAGTCAAAAATGCATTTGTGTGTTAACTTATTTTTATATCCTTAGAGTATTTAGAAATGTATTTTATTATTGACGACAGATATTCTTAAGCAAAAAAAATGCTATAATATTTTTTTCCACATTACTACGATTGTTTAAGCATATACAGGGTGAATCACTACGCGCATGGTCTTTGATATCTCTTTAATTTATTAGAGATATCGTGTTAGCTAAAAATAATGGGGTTTGCAGAATTTTAACATCTCTATCTGTTCTCAAGATACTAGACCACGGAGTTTTAGCTGAGCGACCCTCTATATAATGTACTTAAACAATGGTATATGGTGCTATATTTAGTTTCAATGCCATTCAACTGGTTTTTACAAAGGTATGAATTAAATATTAACAAATCTATTATAACAACCATAAAAATAACAATTTTATTATTTAGAATGGGTCATTAAACACCCGCTCTTCATTAATTATGAGAAATAGAAAAGAAAAGGCAAATATTAAAGTTGTTTGAGCACCATATATTAAAATCATTTTCAACTATACATACCTTTAAGGCGTTAAATTTTTTCAAATGGAATATCCCATATATTTTTACATATTCTGATTGATCTCTTCTTATGTTTTATAACAGTTTATGTTTGAAAATCCAACGTTATTTAAATTTTCTTGAAATTTAGCAATGAAATGGTTCAGAAAAATCGCAGTACGCAGTACGTTTGTTTTTAAAATCTATGTTATAATATTTTGTGGTAAGATCAATGTAGGTATGCGTTTTGTTATGATTCAAAATAAAATTGAGCTTTAATATACAAAGTGTTTATATGTATATGTTTTTATTATTATATTTTATTAAATATCGATATTTCAATTTTTTCCTATAGAACACCTGTATTTTGTTATAACATTTTACTCTGTCTTTTGTTCCTTTTCTTTTTTGTTAATTATTTTTTTACTTTTTTGAGAGACACACCGATACATTTGAAAGTACGATAACAAAAAATAGAGTAAGGTGCACTATTTGAGAAAACTGAAATATCCATGGACTGTAGTAAATTGTACAGGGTTTCTATAAATGATTATAGGGTCGCAGTAGGTCATGTAAACGTGCCGCCTCTCCGATTTAACTGTACCGAGATCCGTACTAAGTGCCCAAGGACGCATGACAAAGATCACACATGGACCATACACACATGTGTATAACTGGTTGCCTAAACGCTTCACATGTTTTAAAAAAATCAAACTAATTCATTACGATAAAAAGAGACAAATTTATTGCGGTTTAACATCACAGTAAATGTTGAAAATGCTCATCATTCTGTTCAACGCACATGTTCACTCTCTTTTTAATTTCAAAAATGTTCTGTAACATCCTTTCGTCAATACTTTGGACCCGTTGTTCAAATCATCAACAATTTCCTCAGATGAAAAAGTCTTCCACGAACTTTTTCTTTGTTCATACTGCCAGTTCGAACAAATCTGTTGATTACATCTCTAATGTGGGCCTTTAGCGATATTTCTTGAATTATTAAATCACAGTATTTGGCCAGATATTCTTGCTTACAAGCGGTTACAGGATACAGCCACTCTTTGTTTCTGAAGTCCCATTACGATAACAAGGCATAAAGATGAAAGAAGTATCTAGTTCAACAGAGTAAACCATTTTCACAGTCTTCGCTTTCTAGCACGAAAACACAATTTTCGTACGCAACCACCAAGAGGTTTGAAAACGATTGTTTTGTTGTTTTGAGCTTGAATCAATGAAAATTACTGTAATTCGCACTCGAAAAACGTTAAAACAATAAAAACGATGCTTTTAAATGACAGGTTACAAGGTTACAAATGACATTAGACATTAATGTGACAAGTGAGAACTGTCATAATGAAGCATAATCATTAATCACGGACATAATTTCAGCGAGGCGGGATTTTTGAAATCCATGGCCAACTACGTCCTTAGAATCATTTATAAAAGCCCTGTATAACATTCATTTTTGAAAAACTAGTCAATGAAAAATTTCTACTGGATTAAAATAAAGTTTTCAAGTGCTGAATGGGGCGAATAAAAGGCACACGATATGTGTCGAAGGCTAGTCAGTAAATAAAGAAATTTGGAAGAATGTTAACCTGGTAAAATTAGCCAAAAATTGGAATGTCGACATAAACATTGTGAGGTTAGTGTGTTACTTTTTTACCTGTATTTTGCTACAATGTTCAGGGTTGCCGAATCAAGAACAGTGTAATTTTTCCTGGAATTTTGAAAGTACTATATTCAGTGAAAAAAATTATGTGTTCAGCCCTAAATTTTGATAATTTCATAGTCTACAGAGATGGCCAGTCGATTTCAAATGAGTTATATATTTCGAATTGATTATTTCAGTACTTTTCGTATGCAGTTATACCTACTACCAAAGTGGTTCATTTTTTATAAGCAGCAATTTATAATCGTGAGTTAGTTAATACAAATATGGGGACACGAGAGTAATTATAAAAGGCATTGATAAATGCGTGTTCTTAATTGTAACTGTGTTTTAACAAAGGTAAGCGACAATTACAGTCACAAAACAAATTAATAAACCTATCATCCATTTTACAACTTTCAATTGATTACAGAAACAACAGTTGCGTGTTCGTAATATATTGTCACAGCGATATAAACAATGAAAAGTTGACCTGGATAAAATGCACTTGCACTAACTAAATCTTTGTTTTCCATCCGTTGAACTGTCATAGCGTCAGTGATGAATCACCTATCGTGCATTGTTTGTGTTGTTGCGGCCTGACAACACTCGCAACATTGTACATATAGTAGGCTTTCCATATATACACACTACACACATATATATCGTCTCTTCTCTACTGCACATGGACAGGCTTTGGGATTCACTCAACTTGATTAAATAAATTACACAAAGCCAACTTCGCTCGCTAATAGTTCTCCACAAATTTCGCCCAAGATAATAGCCACAAAACAATTATTAGGTTAAGTCTGGTGTAGGACCGGTCGTCACAACCCAAATGCTAACTTCATTTCCTTACTGCATGCTCATCTATTTCATTTAATAAAATTGTCAACCAAAAATTTATTCTGCCATTTCAGCAACACGAAATTTCTCTCCACTTAGGTGTTTCAACTTCTGTTGTGATCCTGCGATCATTTTCAGTTTGCAAAATTTGACTGTGTCATAGTTAAATTATGCGCACTGAAAATACATTACCTTTAACGCTTAAAATGAAATGTTAAAGCATCGTGTATAGATAATTAATTTTTTCTAGAATCATAATCTAAGTGGAAATTCAGATTTATAGTGAGATTACTGTATGGACCAAGAAAAAATGTAGTTTATGCTCTGCTTGTAATTTATCGAAAACAGGCAATACGCATCAAATAGAATGTATTAGAAATTATACTTATGCTGTTTAAACTGTTTACTTGCGTTACAATAATACCATCGATATTTATATAGGAGGATATTTTTTTCTTAATTTTAAAATTTGAATAATCACATTTTCAAAAATATTAGTCGTATTAGAACTTAGAAATTTACAATAATAGCTCAAATTTATATAGCCATATCGCTAAAATCGATTAAAATGGTTAACTGCTCAAAGAGGTCATATTGTAGGTTTTATACAAGGTTGCTAAAAAGTATGGAAGCAGTTGAATATCGCGGGAACGGTTTGTTGGATCTTACTGAAATTTGGGTTATACTTAAAAATACTGAACTCTATTTTATGTATTTTTTTTTAACTTTAAACTTCGTTTGTTTTCAAGATGCAAGGCTAACTTGATTTTTTTTAATACCACCATTAGTCAAATCGGCATTTTTTGAATAGAATTCAAAATTATAACACATGTATACACTTTTTTTGAACTAAACAGCAAATAAAAGAATAAATTTTAAAATAGAAAATTGTAGTTAACTTTGAAAATACTGTCATCGATTTGTCAGTGTGTATTGAAATGCAAACTTCTGTTGCACTATGTGTCCAAAAATTAAGAAAATAATATGATTGTTTAAAAAAAATGTTTGATGACCTTATTACAGCTATACAAGTCGTTTAATTAATTGAAAATGAAACTTTTAAGATGTTTTATAGAACTGTTATTGCTATCAGTTTATACGAATAATAACATTTTATATCATTTGGAGCGTTACTTTGTGTCTACATCTGCGCAACAGCTTAGACTGTTTGTTAATTAAGTATAAGAAATTTAATTTGAATTAGAATTTTTTAAATATAGCACGATTAGTTGCAGTAATTGCTGTAATATGTCCGATGCTCCAATGGTATTTAAAACTCACTGAGTTTGGACAGTTTGCCATCTGTTGGGGATAATTTACAAAGACTGACACTTACCTGTAACAATTAGTTGAACGGATAAAGCGTTTCTAAGGGAATCCAACCTTCGTGTGAGATCTCTACTGTGGGATACACATCTGTATTCGCCGGCTTCTTGGTAAAGGACCTTATCCAGCCTTAATTCCTGCGATGCTCCCATGGGCTCTAGCCGACCAGTGCCTGCTTCTACGCGTGTCCAACAGCCAGATGTGCCTAAATAAACAAAGAAGATAGTTCTTTGTTCGTCTGCGATAATTTCAAGAGGAACGAGGGAATCCGTACGAGTCAAGGATCTCGAAGTTTGCGAAAGTAGGTTGCACTGTTGCTTGTAGGATGAACAAATTGATTTTATGCGGCGAATTGACGAAGACAGGACTGATATCGAAAAGTTATGTGTAAGGAAATCGCACGCAAACTTTAGGCGATATTCAAAGGAAAAAGTTAGAAAACCGCAAATGGCAACAGATTCCATTCAGGCGGCGGCTACGTTAGTTGAACTATAAACAAGACCTGTAAAGTAAAGCCATCAGAAACTTTATATTTCAGCTTGTTTACATATGCATGCCGCTACAAGAAGTTAAGTGGTTCTGCAGAATTCGCTCCTTTTTACAATATAATCGCAATCCTTTCCCTGTCGTTATATATGCATAGAGTTCTTAAGAAAGCAATGCAGAGTGTTTCTGAAATACGGTTCTATTTAAAATTTTCCTTTTGTACTATTATTGTTATTGCGGGGTTAAGGGATTGATCCTGCACCAAAGACCTTTAACTAAATCCCTGCATACTAAGCAGAAAGCCACTGAAACAAATTAGTTCTCTAAGCCTTTTTAACGCAGGCCGCCAAAATCTTCCACTAACAAATCGCATGGCGATTCCAAACTAATTAACATTAACGACAATTTTCTCCACAGCAATAACATAAATGTAACATCAAATGCGTAGTAATTACACTCTGAATTAATTTATACGAGTGTGTTCCTACCAGATGTTAGCTTTCATCTTTTATTAAGAGATTCAAAAGGTAATTTACAGATTTATCTAATATGCGAAAACAACTGTTATATACCTTCACGTTTATTTACATTTATGTTACTAATGTTGAATATTTTTAAAAAACAAACTAGCTTTACAATAATAACTTTTTTGCAAAAACCAGTGCGCAACCCACATATTAAATACAATTAATTTTATACTTATTACGAAATTTTGGAGTGAAAAAGACACCAGGTAAATTGTTTACAGAGTAAAGAAAACACAATTTAAAACGGCAAAACATCAATAAGATCTGGTCAAATAACAACTGATACTTGTAAAAAAGCGTTTAATAAAACCCTGGCAAAGTTTCATTTTCCTGAGAGTATTTCACTCTAGAAATATTTTATTATTGATAATGATCTAAATGCTAAGACGAATTTTAATTAAACTTCTTCAATATTATCTGAGACACTTAAGCAGCACCCTAAATACTCAAGGTAAATTGTTTCAACTTTCGGCATAATTAACGTTTTCAGAAGCGAATTGGCTTGGAATTTACTTTACTGGCAGGGAAAAATATGCAGATTTTTTTCAATTTACAAAGAAAATTACGTTATTATGCTTTTAAATTTTAAAGAGCTTTTTAAGAATCAGTTACCTGGGGGACAAGCGAGTTGAACCGCTCCTCCTAGTGCCACCTCTACTTGTCGTCCTGTGGAGCTTAATTCTCCAATGTCAAAATCGGGTTCTTGAGTGACCTCCATGTCATCTAAAATTATTACTTTCAGTTGTAAATTATTACTTAAACTTTCATTAAAAACGTGTAACCAACAAAAACTGTCCTCTAATTGATGCTGCTTTTTTCGATGCCTTTCTCATAATAATGAGTGAGTAGCAGATGATGAGAAGGACAGCTTGCTTGTTCAGTGCCAATTTAAGGGCGTTTTTTGTTGATTAGAACATGTCTTAAATATTAGCCGGAAAAATTGGCACGTTCCGTAGAAATAACAAGGTATCCTGGGACATGTGAAAATGTGTGCTAGGTAAAAATAATAGATTTAAGATATAATAAGATAAAGGAACACTAATATAAATATATTATAGGAGTATGACAAATTCCTAATATGCAGGGAGAGGAACGTAACTAATGTGTCAGGGAAAGTAAGAATGAAAGCAGTAACTTTTGCATTCTTAATGTGGCACTAGTTACGCATACAGTGAAATACACATTCTGTCAAAAAAATTACCAAAATTTATGCGTGAACTGGAGGAACAAGTTTTGCGTCATCTATTGTTTCCCCTTCTTTTTAGTTTCCTATTAAAATGTAGGGTTACTGAATAATATTAGCCTTGCTGATGCGGGCTGGGACACTGGTTTTTATTTGGCAAGAAAAATATCAAATAGAACTCGATTTCTGCAGTACCGTCAAAAAAGATTACAGTATTTTAAGCATGCAACAAAATAATCATTTTTCTACAATAAAGTAATGAATATTCAGATTCACAAGTACATGCATTGTGCTCTTGGTCCTTTGATCAATTCAGTAAAGCAAATCTACTCTTGGGTATAAGGGTTTTCTAAATAATCTATTACAGAGATAGTGTTTTGAGAGGAACAAAATAATGGAAAATTTAATAGAAACTCACAGTGCATAGTCGATAGATAACGCCCTTATCCAAAGTGGTATTGATAGCAAGTTGAATTTCGTAACTACAGTCCGGTTGGCAAAGTTAATATGATTCTCTAACCCTATTTAATTTTCCGTGGTTCTGTTATTTGTTTTTACTTAGCTTTTGATCTATGTGTTAGATTCCTTGTTATTATTTCAAAAAGTAGAAATAATTTATTTTGCAGTTTCTTTACGTCATTGAGGAAAATGCAAGAAAGAGAGAAGCAAATATTAGCTTACCACTTTTTTACCTACTGTTTGTACTGATTTATATTTGAAATTTTTGAACATGACTGAAAAAATATTTGTATAAAAATAATACAGATCGTTTCTTTTATTTCAGTTAAAAATATGGGAAGTCCATAAATGTTGTGAAAGGCGAAGGCGCGTAGTTTCCTTTAAACGAAAATTTGAACTACGCATTGAAATTTGTATGGAGCAAGTAGATGACGGTATATAGTTTCCAAATATTGTTGTATACACGGGCCAAGGCTTATATAAGAGAGTAAAATACGCAGAGATGCAAAATATGTTAAAAGGGAGATCAATCGTTGTCGCCCCCTATATTAACATACTAGATGGAAACGCATATGAAGATAATAGAGAAATAGAATTTTGGGTTTCTCATAGAAAATTTTAATTGTCTCACAAGAAAACAACGAAGTTTTGAGATCGGCGGAAGAAAATGTAGATTTACTCTCCATCAACTTTATTTTCAAATGCTAAAAGAAATTACTTCAAATATTTCATTTATAATATGAAATTGTTTGCTTTCATCGCACTTAAAGAAGAATAGCTGCAGTATGATGGAAAAATCTGGAAATTATATCCACTTTTCTAAATAACACTTTAAAAGAAATACATGATGCCATTATTGACGAAGACTATTTTTTCCACAAATCAATTTGGGAAAAAGCGTTGAAGGGAAAGGTAGTCAATGTGTCTGTCAGTGCTTAATCCAAATCCAGAAATACGAAATTATTTTAAAATGGGAGAGAAAAAAGTATGGCGTAAAGATCCCAAAGTCTGTTTCTGTTTCCAGAACGTTCCAAATACGAAAAAATTGTACTCAAGAGCATCAAAAATGAGCTTTGCAGGGTAGCAATTTACCCATGTTATTAATTAGTAGTTTCAGTTCCAATATGTATAGCAAATTCGGACTTGAGTTGCTGTTAAGATCTCAGCTGTGTCGAAACTCTAGTGATACTCAGCATCAAGTTTGAGTCTTTGTAGTTCAATATTAGTCAACATCTACACAAGTGTGTGGCAAGAGGTAGACAGGCGAGAACTCCTTTTAGACGTATTTACATGACTTACTCCATTAACCTATAACTAGAAACTGAGAAAACTATTTCTAGATTTGAAGTCATAGCATGTTATGACTGCTATATAATTATATAACTATATATATATAAAGTGAAAGAAAAGAAAATGTAGAAAACGACAAATCTATCTCGCTAAAGAAGCGAAACAAAATAAGATTTCGTTGCAAGATCAAGTAGACGGTACTAATGAATTTGGCAAATTCATTACATGATATTAATGCATAACTTCTACATTCTCTTCCAAAGAAGAGCAAATACACCGGAAGGTGAATTATGAAGACTTCGCAGGATGAAACGTTTCATTGCAGATAAGAAAAAAAAATATATTTAGTTACCAAACTTTACTGAACTGAAGTCAGATTTGTTTATAAATGCGAACGGAAACATAGGTAAATCTTTTTTCTTTACAACGCAAAAACTACAGTTGCAATTAAAACTCAAAGCGCATTTATTTTTGCCAAAAGTAACACATTTGTAATAAAAATCAAATAGACAATATAACCTTAATTCGTTCGATTTTTGAAAGTTTGTCTTCGATCGTCGCATTTTCAACCCAAATTTTCAAATTAATGGTACTCCGACAAGACGAAAATTCTATCAGACAAGTCTTTAGTCGTGTTTTTTTATTACTCTCTCGGTAGTATTCCCGAACGAAATTAACATGGTGAAATTTTCAGCGATTAATGTTTTCGTCTGAAACTAATTAACATGTAACACATGAAATCAATTTCCACTTTTGCTGGAGTATTTTTTATTTTTATGTAATTATAAAGTGAGCCGATTTCACTCATCGCTAGTCTGCTTATGCAACTGTATTAAATTTGCTGATCAAAAGATTTATTTTCTTCCCTTGGGTATCTGATGATGAGGCTAGACGTGTGAAAAGAGATTTATGAACTAGATTTTTCCTGATCTCTGTAAGTAACAAATAAAAACATTTGCTAAAGCATTTAAGCATAAATTTTGTTCTATTTTTTTTAAATACACGTTCGGTTTATTAACGTTTTTGCTGATTTAACGTAGCTTTTGATCGTTAAAAACTTAGTTCGTGTCATCCTTTGGGTAATAAAATAAAAAGGGGAGTGGTTTTTGTGACGACATTGTTCTGAAATGATGACTGTTATTACCGGTAATGGAGGTTTGCGTTGGAAGACGGCTGGCATAATCTAACACCTTCACTAGGTATAAATAGTTGTGGCGAGTGGATTAGTTGATAAAGTTTTCCTAAATGAGTTAAACTGTCACGACCAGACACCAGTTAATTAATTAATCCCTGTGTGTTTTATAATAGCAGTCCATTTCATATCATTGCATTCAAGTGTACTCGTTTCTATTTTCGGTGACTATCCATTAAGTTCAGACTTTGGCAAAAAAGTGAAAAAAGTGGCAGATTTCAACTAAAGTGTAGGCGAGATCTTGAAATATTGTATGGCTACATTTTAATGAAAAACTGAACAGAGGAATATGAAAGTACGATGTTAGAACTTTGTTGTTTTTTTTTTATCTAATTTATCATATTACTGAAAAATGTAAAACGTACCCTGTTCTCAAGATGAATCTTACCACCCTTAGGTGCTACTTATAGCACGACGTTTTCACTTATCGGTGAAAAAACTGATTGAAAACTTACATGTTATGAATGAAAAATTATAATTTTAAGTAAAAACATGAAGAGAGATTGAGTTGATATATTTTGTACCTGTTTTATTTTGTGATACTTGAGCTTGTTCCTTCCTAAAAACCCGTATATTGAGTTAAAGATGAGAAGAATAATTTTAGCCAAAACATTTCGTTGTGGCGTGGAAAAATTTATATGGCACCTTAAACATATCGGGTATTGAATTGAAAAAGTCATCAAGTTAGCCTTGTTTTTTGTAAACATTGTGAAGTATGTCTACAATACTCTTAAAATTTAATCCATGACAGTTGACAACGCAAAAATATCAAGTATACACACAATATGGGTTAATACAACAAATGTGTTTTTCGCTACGTTTTTTTCTATCAAAGAAATTACATCAACTTGATGACTTTTTCAATTGTCCATCCGTTAAATTATTGATATTATTTATAAAAATCTGTTCAGTATATTGTTTTACTGATGAAAAAATTATTTGCAAAATGACATGTGCTTAGTTTGGATGACTAAGCAATTAAAAATTATAGATATACGAGTATCCCAGCTTTTTCTCGGTGAGGTACTTGCCGTATAGGAAACGTGTGTATTCTATTTATGTGGTGTCTTTTTAACCAAAATCCTGTTATATCAAAAAATGTTGAAAGATCGAATCTTATAGCCCCAATACTGCTGTATAAGTGTAGTACACCGAATTCTGAAATTTTGATAATGGATAATCCATTTTTTTATTTTTAAGAGCTGCCAATACCTCCAAAACTGATCAATCTCATAAAAATGACCTTAGAGAAAGCCAAGAATGTGGAAAGCAGACGAATTTGAAGCAGAATAACCAGGTCTATGGCAAGGAGATCCCTTGTCAACAGTGTACCTACTGTAGGTAATAATAAGAAGTAAAGTAAAAACCATGGAAACAATATTCAAAGATTGGTATCAGTGTTTAGCATTTGATGATGATGTAGTAATTATAGCAAAAAAGAAAAATGAGCTATAACAAGAAGAAAAAAGAACAAGGCGGGAAAATTAAATGGGTGCAGGTGAAGAAAAAAAAAAGAATTTGAAAGATTGTATAGTGAATCTAAAATAACAGCATATATAAGAGTACAGATAATTTGATAATTAGGCCTTGTGGAAAAAT